ATTAAGGTTCCTAATCCTTGTCTGTACACTGTACACTGAGCAGAAACTGGTAGCTTATCTCTAGGAACTGAAGGAGGGATGTCTGGATACAACCTCTTTGCACTGGAAACAGCCTCGTCAAACTTCTGCTCTGCGGTTCAGGCAGGGTTGTTCTGTGATCAGCCACCTTCATTTTAAAGTGGCATGATCTGGCCTGCTCTCTTTCTGTGGCGTCCAGGCAAAGAAAACTTGCTCCCATTTCATGTCTAAAACCATTAAGACTGACGGGGTGCAAGAAAAATGGAATACGGATCTCCATCACGCCCGAGCAAGAGGCTAGTCTTGTGGCTGGAGAGCAGAATATGTTCCAGATGCCACTTTGTCCTCCATGGCAAGGTGGTAGGAAAACTCAGGAAGGACGGCTGGGGGATGGAAGGTGACTGCACTGTTCACACCCTTCCCACAAGCCTCTTTTGTCCCAAGGCACTCAGAAAAAAGCTTGACCAATTGTAATTGCATCACTGTGTATCGCTTCTTGGCCTCTTGGCTAAGATCGTGTGTATGTGTGTGTCTGTAGGTCACATCATTGCATCGACCCCCATTGGATGTCCCTTGTAGTTTAACCTGAGGCAGGATTAGGCAAAGGGTGAGTCCATCATTGGAACATGGAACCACAGCAACTCATTCAGGAGAACAAGCCTTATTCTATTCTATTTCTACTCAAGTATTACTGAGCCAAGCCTGTTGTGATTTATTGGCTGCATCATACAATTTGGCCATTTCCCCACTAGTGACATCGTGTCTTTCAGAAACATCCAACTGATATTGTGCCAAAATAAAAGGAACAAGGACAGATTTGACATCACTTCAATTCCAGCAGGGTCATCTGTTGTAATGGTATGTGAGAAAGACCTTGGGAGGCAGGCGAAGAGATGCTGCTGCGGGAATGGTCAGATAAGAGACAGCACAGCCCTCAGCTGGATAGTGGGTGGGGCAAGAGGCTCCGAAGGGACCCTCCCTAATTTGTAAAGGAGGATGTAAATGAGACCGGGGGGGGGGGGGGGGAGAATTGTACATTCACACTTGCAAGATTCTGTTAATGTAGCCTTACAATAAAGTAGAATTAGCTCATCTGGTCGTGTTTCCTATTTGGTTTACCCTGCAAGGCTGACATCTATGAATATGCCTTAAGTCACAACTGGAGAAATAGCTCTAGATTTTCAGTCCCATACAAATCTTTGATTTGCTTTTAAAAGTTCAAACTTATTTAAAAGTCTGCGCCTTCACTTACAGTATTAGCCAGAAGAAATGGTTGTAGTATGTCTGTGCTCTGTCTAAATATGGCTGTGTAAGCTGAGGTGTGAGTGGGAGCCCTTTTTAATTGGAGTGGCTTATTTGTTGGGGGGGGCGTTGTTTGGCCACTTAAGTTTTTTCTTATAGGTTTATCTCTTCAATGGAATCTACAGTGGTAATTTCATGTTACTTACTGAAGTCAACAGTAATCCTTAACGTAACTCTGAAAAACAGATACAATAATACAACATGGCTGGGATGATGGCTGGAAGTGAGTTGGGATTTTGTAGATTTCGTGACTGAGAAATAGGTCTGAGATGAAGATAGGGAATGGTTATAATTTCTATTGGATGAATAATAGGGAATAAATCAATAAAATAGGGCAAAATAGGTCTTCGTATGCACAACTTGTATTTACTTGTTTGTGACAACAGAACTGGGTTGTCGATGAACACAAAGGAAAATCTGAAATCGGGTCATATATTTCATGACAACATGACTTTCTGTATTTATCTCTATGTGGAATTTTGCTAGCAGAACGCTGAACTACTGTGACTAATGAAAGAAACTCATTTAACCTGGGTTGTACATAAGAGCAAAGAACAAGTATATGAAATGTACAATCTGCCATCTTCCCCCATTTCAAAAAACAGAGCAAGATATATTCGTGATACATGCAGTAACAACTTATTTTCCTACCTGGGTAAGATTTCCTGCTCAGTACATGTAGTATATGAAAGAGTTTGGCAAAACAAACCATTATTATTTTATTGCCACCCATTGTTTCTCTCGTGATACCAGAAGATTCACACGCTTTTTAATCATTTGTTTACAGGCAATACCATAAGCGGATAAGCTACCAATTATAGGAACAAAGGTGAACACTTTTATAAAAGTGTTTCAAGCAGAGAATGATGCAACCACATTTTATTGAATTAAAAGGAAACTGTTTTTTGAAAGTGGAACAAAAAAATCTCCTGAACAAGGTTCACCTAATTCACCGAGCCTGTGCATTGCGCCTGCAGTTAAAATTCCTTTTCGATGTTTAGGCAGTGAGACTATGCACCAAGTTGTTAAAAGTTTCTAAGTATCTTGCTGAATCTAGGGATGGGAATTTGAGAAGAAGAGAGTCTGCAAACACCAGGAAGTGACTCTAGAGCAAGAATCCTCCACTGTTGTAGTTATGGAAATAACATGTTTTCTTCCATCAATGTGTTCACTTTACATTATTCAGCACAAAGCTTTGTAAAATAAGAATCCTGGGAATATCACAATATAAAGGGGGAAAAGGTACAAATAACAGCTTCATAAACTGAGAAATGTACATAAATAAATCATGCAGATGTGGCCGGTTTGCTTAGCTGGCAAGAAACAAAATATGGAAAATCTGCTTGTTAAACAATAACCACAGAATGTGCTTTTATGATGTTTTTCCCCCTTTCTTCACCACAGTAATTCATATTAGAGCTAGAAGCGGTTGCATGTTAAATGAAATCATTCAGCATTGTTCTCCTCGTATTGCAAACAGCTGACTTATGTTGTTTTAAGATGCCTCCCATTAGAAAGTAAATATTCCTCCAATGTTACACATTTCACAAAATTTAATAAATATGAACTGTAAATAAAGTCACAGGCAAATTTCAGACAGTTTTATTAGCAGATTGTTGAAAAGGAGGAGGAAAAAAAAAAGAGGAAAATTAAATACAATACCAGGAAACGTGGTTCTCACATGAAACCAGGCTCAGATAACTAGACTACCATAGAAAAATTATCCAATTCTTGCATTATGATGTAAAAACAGATTTTGTACAGATTTTGTACAACAAAATTCATAATAACTTTTTTTCTCATTTTTAGAAAACTTTAAATATATAGATAAAAATAGACAATTTTCATAGGTCCTACATGAAGATGAGAATGTTCTGTTCCAAAGGGTTGCATAGAGCGCAAAAGATTATAATATAGAACAACTAGACATTAATATCTTTAAGAATACAAAAAGCATTTAAACAATAACATGAACACAACATTTCTTCATATTCTAGGCAAAAGGAAAAAAAAAGTCTTGGGTAACTAAAGGCAGAAGAAACCCAAATTCATCATACGGTAGCATTTCATGAACTGTAATATTTACACATCGTTTTAACAAGATATACTTCTCCTCATTTAGCATTTCCATTTACTTATGTACCAAACCAAACAATGATTAATACCCACGGTGTCTTGAAAGAATACACTGTAAAAATGATCACACCGACTCACGGGTGGTTTTTGCCAGGACAAAGCAATAGCAGATGCTATGACCACCATTTTTGCAACAGAGCAAACAACCCAAACCCCTCTCTCTTCTCATATAAATAGCTGTTTGCCACAAAGTTCATCAAATAATAGCCGTTAACCCTTTAAAGACTGCACTATTTTTTAAAGGGGTATTTAAGATTTTCTTAAGTATTTAGTAGTTAAAAAACACCAACAGCCCTCCTGTAACAAAGGTTTTGTTTTGGGTTTTAAAGACACTTTTTAAGACATAAAATTAAGGTGGTCTAAATGCATGTCAAAACAAACAAAACCCAGGTTCAGAAAGACTCTTATGCTCAAAGAGTTGCCTTCCCAACAGATTTAAATTTGGACACGTTGTTGGCCATTCAGAGGAGCAAGCGCTGACGTTTCCAATCACAAATTCATATAAAAGGCATTTTCTGCATAAAACATTAGCGATCCAAGAAAGCATGAACAATCTTCCAAGTAGTCTTTAAAGGGGTAACTTGGAGAAGTAGGCAGAGCCAGGAAGAAAATTTAAGATGTAGAAAACACTTGGTTTCAGCTTGCTTCCAGTTATGAGCACAAAGGTGAAAAACAGATACTGTTTTTATAAAGACGATAAAAATAACACAGAACCAGACTCGCCTACAATGGCGGGTGGGAAGGACAAAAGACTTGAAACCCATCACTTAGCTCTACGTGGTATTGGACTGATACATCGAGTGTCTTTACAGCCTTGGGGATTTTTTTTTCCCTCCCCAGCAATGTTGAAGTAATAGGACATTAATATAGAAAAATATTTCTGGGGAGTTGACTTGATTTGGGGCCACGATCCACTCCGAAAAGTGCCCTCTCTCAGCATATACATATAAATGTGGCCGCCACTCCCAGACGCTTAAGATTCCCTTCATTAACACTGTGACTTCAAGACAAATATTTACATGCCTGCATGCGTTAAAATTAGAAAGATGGTGTTTGGACCAACAGGGTGACAAAACATATTCTCTAAAATTGTTGTTTTCCTAAAATCTAGTATACTACTGCATACATAATATTTTCCGTGAGTGGTTTGTGGTTATATACTGTACAGCTGAACAGTTTCAGAAACAAAGAACAACTTGTGGTCATTCCTCTCCCAATATACTGCCAGTTTAACATGAGAAATTATAAGCAATCCTCCTCCTCCTCCTCCTCCTCCTCCTCCTCCCTTTCTTCTTCTTCTTCTTCTTCTTCTTCTTCTTCTTCTT